GTAGGTAGCAAGAAATAATTAAACTGATGTCTGAAATCAATAAAGTAGAAACAATACAAAGAATCAACAAGATAGACAATTCTTTATCCAAACGAATGGAAAGGCAGAAAGAGAACATGCAAATTAACAAAATCAGAAATGAAAAAGGAAACATAACAATGGACACTGAAGAAATCCAGAGAATCATCAAATCATACTTTCAAAACCTGTACTCCACAAAATTGAAAAATTTAAAGGAAATTGACAATTTTCTGAATAGGTATCACTTACCAAAATTAAATCCCTAAGAGTCCTGGATGCTCACATGTGCCTTAATTGGTGAGGTAATATTGTTAATATTTATTCTCTTTAAATGTTGCCTACAGCATATTTGACAGGGTTAGGCATCAAATAAGGTGACTCTTAGGGTTTTAAGGGATCTTAGACGCCCTTCTCACAGCCTTCTTCAGGAGGTTAAACATCCCTACTTATCAGGAATTCAAAAGGCTACCCCCTTGGTTCCTGAGCCCTGGCAGCTCTCTAGGAACACTCTTCTTTGAGGGCTGGTAGTCAATGACAGTTAAGAGTTTTTTTCAGAAGGCCAATCTAAGACAGGCACAGTCCACTCATTATGTCCTCAACAAGACCTGAACAAAGAACTCTGGCTCCCACTGAGTGCCCATGTAGTAAATATAAAGGGTAAATATATATGAATTTAGGGCCTACAAGACTGAGAGATGAGTAAACCTCAAATCTGCCTGGCACAGAGGTCCTGATCATGCCTACCCAATGAGAGGTGACCATGACACGCTGCCTGAGAGCATAGCAGCAGCTACTGTCAGATACCCTGGCTGTGCCTAACCAGCGTGTGGCAAAAACAAGGTGTCAAAGTAATCAGATCACCTGAGGGCTGGCAGGGTATATACGATTTTTCAGACTGCTAAATATGAGTCTTATGTTTTCCTTTCACCTGACTGATGGGAGATGTCATTCTGTATATGTTTCTCATACTGGTTAATGAATAAAGCACTGTTGGCCAATAGGAAAGGAAGATAGGAGGGACTAGGAGACAAGGAGGAAATAGGAAGTAGGGAGGAGGAGTCAGGATGGAGAGCCTGGAGAGAACAGAACTGCCTTTCCTCCACTCTCGGTAAGACCACGTGGAAATACATAGAAATGGGTTAATAATTAAGACAGAGCTAGCCGATAAGAAACTAGCACCTGGCCAATAGCATTGTATCAAATACAGTGTCTCTGTGCATTATTTGGAGCTGGCGTGGCGACTGGACAAGACCAGTGGTGGGAGGAAAAACCCGTACTTCTTACACCTGACTTCTGGTGGCTGTATGCTATTGAGGCTGTGCCTTCTCGCCACCCTACCCATGGAAGCCATTAGGATGCAGCAACATCTGATGATGCTGTCAGTCATAGGATTCTTCTTGTAATGTATGCCTTCAGTTCAATCACAAAATGTCACTATTTCACCATTCTTCTAGATGTTAAAACTCTCAGGGTTCACTCTTCAGTAAGATGCATAATTACTTCCAGCACTGTGAAAACTATTCAGCAGGTTGAAGCTTCCAGTTACTGCCAGCTTGAAAACTCATTGTCTATCAATCTAGTATATGGTATCATCAGCAATAGCAATTTACCTTCTTGTTACCATAGACCCCTAAACATTAAAGGATACTGACATTGTTCTTACTTGTGTCAAATTAATTGATTAAAACTCAAGTGCCTGACCTGCCTCATTTATGAGTACTTAGAAGCAGAGTATGGTTAAATCAGAGAAGAATACCTAATAAAGTAAGAATAAAATGAAAAGCATCACAATTAATAAGAACGTTATTATAATATTTAGGATCATGGAACACAAATTAATTTTTAAAGCATGGCATGAAAATATTCCAGGCAGTCTTGGGGGATTCGAAGAAGATTCAGATATCCAGGCTGTAGTCTGTAGGGCTGTTTTGTCCAGCTGTTTTGAATGTAGGATCAGCTTGTACTCTGTTTCAGGCGGTCTGGCGTGATCAAACCACATTAGTCTGGAAGGAATCCACATCTTTTCATTTTCTGTGGAAACAAAAATATAAATCCTTTTCCCCAGTAACTTGTCCTTCAACTTAAATTTTGGAGTCAAAGCATTTTTTTTTATTTATTATTTTACATGTCGATCCCAGTTGCCTCTCCCTCCCTCCCTCCCTCCCCCAGCCCTCCCTCCCTCCTTCCTTCCCTTTTACCCTCTCTGCCCTCTCACATGCACTCTAAACACCCTCCCCTCCCATCCCCCCACCCCAATTCCATATGTAGGGGAATGCCATCCAGTTGGGGTCATGTAGATCTGACAGGTCCTGTGAAGTAGGGACTAGGGCTTCTCTCCTGTCTCTAGATTAAGGCAGTTATCCCTCCATGGGGGATATGTTCGCAAAGTGCACCAGGGATACATCCTGGCTCCACTGTCTGAGGTCTCTTAGACTGCTCAGTCCTTCTGGCTGAGACCCATATTCAGGGGGGCCTGAGTCAGAAGGAGGGAGGGAGGGCTGGAGGGAGGGAGGGAGGGAGGAAGAGGGAACTGGGATTGACATGTAAAATAATAAATTAAATTTTAAAAAAATGCTTTGACTCCAAAATTTAAGTTGAAGGACAAGTTACTGGGGAAAAGGATTTCTATTTTTGTTTCCACAGAAAATGAAAAGATGTGGATTCCTTCCAGACTAATGTGGTTTGATCATGCCAGACCACCTGAAACAGAGTACAAGCTGATCCTACATTCAAAACAGCTGGACAAAACAGCCCTACAGACTACAGCCAGGATATTTGAATCTTCTTCGAATCCCCCCAAGACAGCGCCCCTTACCAGCAGGAAGTAGTTTGGAAAGAACGACGCCCAAATTCCCAAATATTGTGTATAAATGTTTGTTTTCATTTAATTGGACTTTGTTATATAAATTAAATAAAATAAAAAAAGAAAGTTTTCATCTAGTCTCAGGCATATATATTATACCATTCAGTTTAATAGTTTTACAACCCTCTTGATTATATGAATGAGTGGGACCCTGATGCTTGTGCCTTTTCTTGGGATCTTTTCTTTTCTTTGGTTGGTTTGTTTTGTCTGATCTTGATGGATTTTTTATCTCTATATTTTATCTTATTTTATGTTGTTATGTCTTCAAAGCCAATTCTTTCCTAATGACATATAGGAAGTCAATCAGCATGGGAGGGGAGGTGGAGAGGAATTCTGAGGAATAGAAGGAAGAGAAGATGTAAGTAGACAATACTGTATAAGAAAAACAGTCTTTTCTCAGTAAAGGAGGAAAAGAAAGAACCTTTACTATCATCTAACAATACAATCAAGTGGTATCTCTCTATGTGTCCTGTCCATCAGGATGATGTACAATATTTGGTGCTGGTTATACTTGAGCCATACCTAAATATCTGATAAATTGTGATGCAATTTTACTATATGCTAAAATCAGTTTATTTTAATGAACTCAAAAATAAAAGCCTTTAAGAGATATAATGAAATAATCATTCAAAAGAACACTTGCCCAGGTCCAAAATGAGTTTATTTCAGTTTTGATCTATAAAATTAAGGAAGCCATACTGAAACCATGGAGCTTTGCTGATAGTTTACACTGTTACTACTTATTACATTTTTATACCCTTATCCACCACAGGATGAAAAAATGGCAGAGTTCAAAATTAAAAATAATAATAATAATAATAATCTTCATAACTTCTCCCATAACTCATTAATTCTCTTTTCTGCCATTGCCTAACATTATCATTCTTCATCTCCTTTCTAAATATTAAACTAAAGTTATGCTCACCTAGTTACACATGCAGATTCATACCTTATAGGATCTGCACATAGAAGAGAACATGTGAATTTTTTGAGATGGTAAGACCTGAATTAATATTATGCATTCTAATTCCATCCATTTTCCTACTCATTTTGTGATTTCATCTATCACTATAATTTAATAATATTCAATTTTATATATAAACACATATTTGACAATGTATTTATTTATGTATGGATATAAATGTGGGCTCCGTTTTCCTGCTACAGTAACTGGAGAAGCCATAAACATGGGTGGGAACAAATCCCTATGGATATAAATGGGGTTTTCTAGGTATATTCCCATGATATAAAAGTTGGGTGTCATAGTAGTTCTACTTTTAGTTCTTCAAGGAACCTCAAAACTCAATTTCTTAATGTATGAAATATCTTCCAAACTTTTCTGATGAAGTCCACATTACACTGTTATTACACTGTTGCCAAACCAGATAACAACACAACAATGAAAAGGAAATTTATAGACTAATCATCCCGATGAACATAGATGCAAAATTTCTCAAAACAATATTGGCAAACAAAAACCAAGATAACATTGAAACCATCATTCATCCCCAATCAATATCTGTATGAGGCAGAAGATGTTGATCATAGTTTTTCACAAAGTGTCCTGGGAAGATGCTCTCTTCTGTGATATTATTGAAGACTGTTATTACAAGCTTCAGAAAAAAACACCTCATTATCTCTATCACAGCTGCAAGTTGCATATATAGGAAGTTATAGCTGTAGAAGTTCCCTGGTACTGCTGAAGATTATAACAGTTGTAAAGAGACAAGGGCCTCCTGATAAACAACTTCATGGATAGCCACTGTATCGGATTTCTTTGAAGTTAGACTTTAGGATCCATAACATTTCTGTGAAATAACAATGCACTCGGGAGGCCCTAGCAGATTGAAAGCCAGAAGAAGGTTGGCTTAGTACCATTTTTCTATCTCTTTTGAACATCGGCCAGACAAAGGGAAGCCTAGAAAGTGTAAATTGAAGAGTGAAATCATCCTCATACAGTGAGCTAATGGGGGCAAAATAAAACCAGCTCACAAAATTCTGAGTAATGTCATTTGCATTAATAGTTTGAAGACAAGGTACTTTATCCTTATCTTTTTGTACTGAATTGTGAGGGAGATGGTTGAGCAAACAATTGATACTCAAAAAATTATATAATTTACTTAGGAATACATGAGTTTACATTCCTCATCCAGAGAAAATCAAGTCTTGGTACCATGGAGTAATGATTCATAAGGAGAAAGGGTGCAAAACAAGGAAAACACAGAGAAGTGAGGTTAGTGATGTTCACAAGCCACCAACTGTGATTATACAAAAGAGCCATGCAGCCTTGTAAGATGGAGGAGAGAGTATAAAAAGCCAGAAAGGTACACACCAGGACCAGGATGTGACGCGTAGCTTTGGACTCAGGGAAGTTTCTCCTGGAACCATGAGTGCTACGGATGTGTTGAACCCTCTTCTTGTGTCTGTACAGAAAGACAATCATGCAGCCACTGGACCAGGCCACAAGCAAAGAAAACAGTATTTCAGGGCACACCACCAGAGCTGCATAGAGTGAGGCACTGATTTCATTCCACCTTAGAGTGGAGCAGTGTCCAAAATCTTGTTTTCTTGTCACATTATTACTATACCTTCTGAGAATTGGGTACAGAAAGAAAATTAAGTTTATCAAGATGTACAAGACCCAGAGGAGGCCGATGGAGCAGCCAATGTACTTAGAAGCTTTGGCTTTTGGGTCCTTACAACAGAATTCCTTGTGACTGATGATGATGGTCTGCAACACACTCAAAAGGCAGGTGGCACCAATAGACATACTGCGGCCAACTCTTTCAATGTACAAAAGTAATCTGCATTCAAAATCATTTAAAAACTGCTTCAACCCAAAAGCTGCCATTGTGTGGGGCACTCCTCTAGAGAGTACAATCAAGGTGTTGGCTGATATTAGATGGATGTGAATCAAATATATAGTCTTTAATTTGCATTCTCCATAATAGACCAAATAGTAGTAAAACAGAGAAAAATTTCCCAGAAGTCCAGTTGTAGTTTGTGAGAGGAAAGTTATTTTGATGGTCAGATTCCAGGAATGCATTCTTTTATTGAGCATGGTTTTCTTTAGCTAAGGGAAAAAACATTTCTCTGGTCAAAATGAGTGAAAAGTATTAATCATTCAAAATCTACAGAGAGGCTAAATCAGAATGTTCCTTAGAAATCAGAACTGCCATCTCATATTTGACTACATAACAAGAATTTCTCAAAGTTAATGACATAATAAATTATTTCTTATAATGTGTTCAACTGTAAGATGTCTAAGGCCTCATCATGTATATGTGGGTGGGTATTATGCCTTCAAAAACATAGAATAACTATCATTGTGGGCAATTTTATTTGCTCTGTTAGAAGTGATTGCAATAAGAGGCACTACCAGTCTATAGTCTATAGTCTAAGTCTATAGTCTAAGACTGAGAATATACAGCTATTTTCTAGTAATGGTATAAAACAAGACAATTCTAATGATTTGTACAAAACCCCAAAATGCCAAGTTGTAATGCATATTTCATGTAAAATTAAAAGCTGATTAAAGAAAAGTATATGAGATATTTTTATAGTGTAAATAACAAAATTTTTAAGAACAAATAATTTATTCAAATGATGGTTCAAGTAACAACTTGTATCTTATGTTAAGAGCTAAATTCTTATGCAAAGTCAGGTTAGGATTGTTCGAGCACTGGGGACATTCAGAGGAATGATATCACACAGAATCCACAGCAGAACAATAATAGGATAAATAAGTCAGCAGCAATTATAAGGAAAATGTTAATACCTGAAGAATGATGGCTAATGCAGAAATGTTCAGTATCCATGCTTGGGATAATTAGGGACCACTTAGAATTCCAGAGTGGAAATGGTAGAAAAAAGACAGTGGGTCAGATAGCCCATCAGAGGAGAGGAAGGAGATTCTTGGGGCACAATATTCTATTCCTTCAGGAAAATGTGCTGAAGCCTTCTTAAGTAGGGGGAGATCCCATTGAAGAAATATGCAGACGCGATTGTGAATTAGTACCAGGATGAACCAAGAGCCTCAGGAAGGGTGCCATTGCTACACTCACTATTTCAGCAAGTAGAGACGGTCATCTGGCATAATTATATTAGATTATGAAAAATATAAGACAATCTGGTGACGTTAGGAATGACCAGATAATAGCAATTTTTTTCTTATTTGTGAACTGGCAAAACATACTGCAGAAAATTAAAAGTATACTATTATGTGAAATAATACAAACCAAGAAGAACTAAGAGTATACCTTGTGTGTCAATGTTGTTTCTTAGTTTATAATATTTAATAGGTAAGATTATGTGGAAGATACTGTGTGTCAATTCCACAAAACAAGAATGGGACCCATAAGACACAAAAGAGAATTATAAAGAACTTCTATGAGAACATATTTTTAGCAAATGCTAATTTGCAATGAGCCCCTGGTTTCTGGTCAACCATCATCACTGGATACTCACTGGAAATCCTCTGGGATATTCTGTGGCAGGGCCACATTGCTTGGGAGATCCTTGAAGTATTTTTCTACAGAACTAGTCCCTCTGCAAGCTCAAGCATGGTGTCCTAGGTGTGGTTGATGTTGGGGTGCATCAACCCAAGTACTAACTTTGTGTCTGGGTGGTAGCTAGTTATGCTGGGAGACTGAAAGAACCTACATCATTTGATGTGGAGTCAACACCCATATACCTCTGCCCTCAAGACTGGTTTACACTAGTGTGTTCTGAGGTACTGAGCCATTCTTTAGAAGTGCAGGCATCAATTGTGACACAGTTTAAGGTAGATACTCTTCAACATGGGAAAAATGAAAACCCAACATCCCTGGAAGATTTTAAAAGTTCTACCTACCTGGGATTGTTAGCTTGCTGAAAGACTAGGAAAAATTCTAGGAAATTCATGACAGTTCATGTACTCTGCAACATCCATGAGGCTACTTAAATACCCTTCCACAATAATGAGAGTGATGTTTACCTTACATCCCTCCTAGAGCCTTCATCTAGTAGCTTATAGAAGCAAAAGCAGACACCCACAGCTAAGCACTGAGCTGAACTACTGGAATCCAGTTGTGGAGAGGGAGGAGTGATGAACAAAGGAGTCAAGACCAGGCTGGATAAACCCACAGAAACAGCCTACCTGGACAAGATTGATAGCTGGGAAACCAGCCTAAGACTGACCTCTGGAATGTGTGTGTCAGGAGGCCTGGGAAATCTATGCAGCCTTTGGTAATGGACCAGTATTTGTCCCTAGTAAACAAATGGATTTGGGGAGTCCATTCCACATAGAGGCATACTCCCTTTGCCTAGAAACACGGTGGGAAGATGGGGGATAATAGTTCCTGCTCCAAATGATAGGACACACTTTGAAGATCCCACATGGAAGACCTCACTCTCCCTGGGGAACAGAGAGATAATGGGATAGAGATTTAGTGGAGGGCAGGGGAGGAGTGGAGGGAGAGGGACCTGGAATTGACATGTAAAAAATGCTTGATTCTAATTTAAAGCAAAAAGAAAAAATTTACATGCTGAATTTATGGCAATTGATAAAAAAAAACTATCAAATGTTATTACATGTATTTTGTTATTGGCTGATTCGTCTTCTTAGTATTTCCATTTTAATAAACTTCTACTAATTTTCTATCAGTGTATTCTATGAGAACTTGTACTCCCACCTGAGAAGGACATGCTGGACATGGGGGAGTGCTCAAGTATGATTTCTGATATGCAGAGCCATGGATTCTATTCAGGAAATGTGGATGCCTGTCTTTGTTTTTATTTCCTTTGATTACATTTTTTACTATTAGAATTGTGAACTGAACATGTATCTATCGGTTGTCAGGCAATTGCTGCAGATGTAAGTTAGATAAAGATCCCTCTCGTGGTTTTTATAATCACTAAGAATGTTATATTCTGGACTGCCCAAGAGAATACCTCATAGAGGGAGTGCAGATAAATTTTCTTAGACTTGAAACTGAGAGTGAAGAAAACATTCACAGAAACAAGAAATAGCTCTTTGTAGCCATGAAACTAGCAAAATTTATACTCTATAGCAAGAAGCTAATCTGATATGTTTATACTAATAAAATTGTCATTTATATTTAATCATAAAAAATCCACAGTGAATACAGCAAGGACTGGAACATCAAAAAAGTTACAGAAACACAGCCACCTCAGTCTGTGCTTACAAAAACATGATGGATGGTGTCCAACATACTACACCCTTTATGCACATTGTTTTCCTCGCTTGATTTTGTTCACATTTTGGGTATCCCATTGTATGCTTGTGCTTTAAAATGTTTTCATTTCATGGGAATAGAGAGATGTCTCCGTGCTAAGGAAAAATGAAATGTGCTGCTGCCTCTGCTGCTGCAGTGAATCCCAGATTGGTTCCCAGCATTCACAGGGTGCCTTACCTGTGCCTGTAATTTCAATACAGGGGTTTCTGTCATTTTCCACTGGCCTTCAGAGGTATTGTCTTCTCCCAGTGTTCATATTTACATGAAGTTAAAACATACACTAACACAAAGTAAAGAAAAATATGTAACAAGTAAGTTGTTACTTTTACATAAAGGATTATCTCCTAAATCAACGTCAAATAACAATATGTATGCAATACGTATGATGGCATTGATCTCACTATGGTCTGAGCTGACAGAAAACTGTTCCCTCTCCCAGTTTTGTTTCAGAAGCACAGGATAGACCTGATAATTATGATGTCACCAAAATATGAATTGTCATTTTGGTGATGAAGGTTACAGTAGGTATGCAGAGGAATTATAAACACTATTAATTTGTACAACATATAAAATGAAACATTAATCTGTGATTAACGACTAATAGCATGAGGTGAACATTAAGTTCCAAAAACATTTCTTTCAAAACTCAGCATTTATTGACTCTTATTCATTATTATTTTATAAAACTGGGCGTCACTATGTAGCGATAACTATGTCAAAACTCACGATGTAGATCATGATGACCTCAAATTTGCAGGCATCTGCCTTCTTTGCAGAAAAAAAATGCTGTGATTAAAGTAATTTTACTACACATCTGGCTTGTTTGCTAATTCTTATATTAATGAGTGTATTATAATGAAATGTATAATGCATTTACACAAAGAAGAGGTATGTAAGATGATAAAGTGCAATGAGAAGAATGTAAAAAAAAACCTTTTAACATTGTCCAGTGTGAGCATTAAATATTGCCCAGTGTTAGTATTATCCATGCTAAGAGTTAATAAATATTTAGCTAAGAGGTATAACCCTGGCAGACTATCACCAGGCTCTGTCTTCCAATATCAATAATGGTAAACAGTGAGTGAAGGCAGCTATCAGGGTCTGATTAATATTAGAGTATGACTAAATCATTAGATCCTGGCTGCCATTGCCTGATACTCATACCCTTCCCAAGTTCAAGATGGAGAGGCTTCAAAACAGTCATTCTACCAAATGCTATTCACTATAGATTCAGTTACTGCTTCTGTAAGCAAAACATAAATGTAATATCACATATGAATGCTTTTTATTCCACAACCATAGTCACAACCTGATGTGCACCTTATATTTTCATTCTACTGTTTATTACTAAGACATGAAACCATAGTACAAAAAAAAACACAAATAATAATCCTGAAAATATAGTCTAAACATCATGGAAGCTGAGGTGAACATTGACTTATTAACAACACTCTTCAACACATTCAAAATTGAACTGAATTATTACTCTCTTACCAACAGTTACAATCAGAGTGGTACATACATTACAATAAGAAACAAGAATGGATACAAGGTTACAAAATCTTTGATCTTTCTAGCTGATCTTTTAGCTACGCAATTTATTCTTGTGCATTTTATCTGAACCATAGATCTGTTTCTATCCCAGATCCCATTACCAGACAAGAACACTTACCCAGGGCCCTCTTCTTTCCTAACTCTACCATTCAGACTGAAATATGCAGTACTCACATAGCTTCATATCTCTGAAGGTTGGTGCCCTCAGTGTGCAGATCCAAACGCATTAATAAGCATCACTGTGGGAGAGTTAGAACAAGGGTGATGTAGA